TGAGTAGAGAAATTAGTTAAACTCAAATCAATTAGATGATAAATTTGCATCATTAAAATTAAATGGTGATTATGATTTAGTTTTGGTCCCCTACCAGCTTGATTCCTAAATCTGTAAGCTCCTATCATTCATGGTAGATAGCCGTCCATTCTATACATCCCCCCTGTTTAATACCACTAGCCACTACTACTAACCCATACATAAAAAATAAAAATAAAAGCTTACAATATCGAGACACTTCAATGTCAACAAATTCAGTGGGAACCTGAGAGAAATTTCCACCAACTCGTACATAACTTTGCTCAGACTTCACACCTTTAAAAATTCCTTCAACCACTTTTCTTCTCTTTTAAGCTCCCTTCTTGTCTCTCTCTACCACCTCCCCATTTAAGTCTTCTGGGTTTTTCTCTCTGTTCATTTCCTTCTCTTCTCCCATTTGTTGTTTTCTTTCCTTCTTTGTTGCTAAGCATTTTCTTGTTAATGGTCACTATTTGTAATCTTCATTTATGTTTCTCTTTGTTGTGTGATTAGCTCTGTTTATCTTTGGTGTTCAAATCAAACATTCCATTCATTCTCATGGATCTTGTATAAACACTACATGATCCATGGCGCAGAAACTCTTTCTCCGATTACAACCCAAGTAGCTCGATCTTTGGCTCACATTTACATTCCTCAGGTACCAGTTTTCCCATTATAGCCATTGCCATTATAGGAATCTTAGCCACGGCTTTCTGCTAGTGAGTTACTATCTTTGTCATCAAATGCTGCCTCAATTGGCACCGTATTGATCTCTTAAGGCGATTCTCTTATCCGAGGGGGAGGACCTGAAGACCCTTTAATGGCGTACTCTCCAGCCATGGAAGCTCGAGGGCTAGATGAGTCTGTGATAAGGTCATTGCCCATATTCACATACAGTAAAGGCGTCAACACAAAGAACTGGAAAAGAAACTTTTGCGAATGTGCAGTCTGTTTGAGTGAGTTTCAGAAGATGAGAAGCTAAGGATAATACCAAATTGTAGCCATGTTTTCCACATTGATTGCATCGACGTTTGGCTTCAAAGCAATGCAAATTGCCCACTTTGCAGAAACAAGTATTTCACCCACAACAAGATTCCCCATTGAGCGAATTATCGCACCCAGTTCCACTCCACAAGATCCAAATCCATACCCTGAAAATGTCGTAAGCAGCGATGAGGATTATGTGTGATTGAACTCGGTACTCACACTCTGTGGATCAACGTTGCTTGCAACACAAGAAAGATTGAATTCGGAGAATTATCAGGCGTTCAATTAGTCCTCCTTTGCCACCGCGAAAGTTAGAACAGAACTCGTTCATAAAAGGGCGAGGAAGTTTCATAAGGTGACGAGTATGGGAGATGAATGTATTGATATTAGAGACAAAGATGAGCATTTGCAATAGACCCATTAGAAGATCATTTTCATGGACTCATCAGCTGATCCCAAGTTCTATTCAGCAATTCAGCAGCTTTTCAACAAAACAGGCAAGCAGCGAAGTCAGCCCCATTGAAGGTTGCAGTAACAGAGTTAGAAGATCTTTCTTTACCTTTGGTCTGGCAGGGGATCCAAAGTGCAGTTCTACCAGTTCATTTGGAGCCATGAAAGAAACATTAAATTTATTAGTCTTTTTTTTTTTTTTTTTTTTTTTTTTTGTTTAACAAGAGATTTTAGCTGTGTTAGAAGCTGTAAATTGGCGATATAGTTATTTCAACTGAAAATTTTTATTAGTAATTTTTATTTGAATTGGTTAGAGGCTGGTCCAGTGTATTCTCAATGACTTACAGCCATTATTGTGAACATCATTGCAGAAACTAGCACTTTTCTTTTCTTTATGAATAGAGATTGATTACTTTCTTTTCTCTGATTGAATCTACTTTGTCTTATTGTTGGTCTAGAGACTCTAGACAGACGAATTAAGGGTTTTACAGAAGAAAACAAATTCCCACACCCCCCCCCCCAAAACAATTACATTGATTTTGGTGTCAAGGGGGTCTTTTTCAATTGAAACAATCATATTGCCGCCAACTTCTACTCCCAAATTAATAATGGTGGTGTCTGTAGATAAGGTATGTTTGGTGATGGTTGGTAATGGTCACTTGTTCTATGTAACTACCTACAGTATTTCCAGCCTGTTGGAATCGATTATTTTTCTATAAAACAAAATTTTCAAATAATCATTAAGCACCTCTCATATGCGAAGTCAACCTCTTTTTTTTTGGAATCCTGAATGGTCCTATTGCAACTCTCAAGATGCTTCAACAATGAATCAGTATTTTGAATCAACTGATAGTTTACCTGGTCAATTCAAGGAGACAAAGTCTCTGTCAAAGCTTGTTTAGTATATATTTCTTACCCTGCTTGAATGCAGGAATGATATGGAGGAGATCAGTTGCAAATGAACTGTTGGATGATTCGAAACCTTGTGACAAACAAGGATGCAGCTTTCTTCAAGGTTTCAAAATATGTGTAGAAAATATGTCTTTCAAATAGTCAATCCCTGAAATATGATTCTGAATCCGTAATCTTCGCAGACACAATCTCTGAATTTTCTTTTAAGTTCCTATGAATCCCAAACCCAATAATCTTTTAAAATTTATATAACTTCAAACTTATTAGATTGAATTATTATTAAATTCATTTGCATTACAATTTTCAAATGTAAAATCAACCATTTGTGGGCCCCGTCTTGCAAATTTATAAATGCAAGGTGTGGCTAAAGACAAGTATTAATTGATGGAACAAGTTGCATAGTACTCTAAAATAAAAAAAAAAATATTAGGTAAATGAAGTTGAATAAAACTAATACTCACACTTTAAACTCAACTTCCAATTTATATTTCTTTTGGAGTATTATATGTGTGGTGGTGTTTATGTCAATTTACGCATACCTCAACTAATTTCTTAAAACTCTGAAATTATAGGTTGAGTAAGAGTTTCAGTAGTTATTCCTATTAGCATCCGAAGAACTCAATCTCAAGATTTCTTGATTGGAGTATCATATCGTTTCAATTTATTTGGCAATCCTAAGGGGGTTTTGGCTTAGAGAATGTTAGATTACTGGAATATTAGATTACTAAAAGTTAGATTACCTTGAAGATTACTGTGAATCTTTAGGAAAATGTGTTTGGTTAATTAGTGGGTATGTTATATTAATATGTTTAGTTGGAGGAATAAATTGGTGGGTATGTTATTTAAATTACTAAATTGTCCTCTAATTAAATTTATTATATTATTTTTTTTAATATTGTTATTATTTGGATTATTATAACCCTCCTGCATTTAAAAACTTAGCAAAAACAACCCCATAATAAAAGTTTGGAAAATCAACAAAGCACCCCCACCAACCTAGCCACTACTGGCAACCACCGTAGGTGGCCGACAGTTGGCAACCTAACGGTGCACGGAAGGCAGGAAATGGCCTTCGTGCGTCGTATGGCCATTTCCGGCTAGAGATCTGGCCGGAAATGGCTAGACGTGACAGATTTGGCCGTTGACGGCTAGATCGACGGATTAGGCCTTTGATGGCCAGATCTGGTCGGAAATGACCATATTGGCACACAACGACCATTTTCAGCCTTCCGTGCACTGTTTCGATTGCGATTGGCCGCGGCGATGGTTGCCGGCGATAGGCGGTGGCAGGTGGGTGGGGGTGGTGGCTTGGGTGGGCTGCAATTTGTTTTGAATTCACGGGTAATTTTTTCCAAAAAGTTAATTAATTGGGGTAAAATAGTAAAAACCATATTCATGTAAATAAATTTAAAAATAAGGGTATTATTGTCTTAAAATTTTATTAATAAGGGATAAAATTGTAATAAAAAAAGATTACCTTGGTAATCTTAGAATACATAAGAAAATGAAGGTAATCAGATTACCTTCAATATTATCTACAGTGGTTACGTATGATTACTGGGGTTAAGTCATCTTATATTATTTGATTATCATGTTTTGTTTATCAAGTAATATAAGATTCCGGTAATTTTCAAATACCAATAGTGGCTACTATTGGTAATATTGGAGATAATCTGATTATCTCCATTTTTTTAGGTATTGTAAGATTACTTGGATAGTTTTTTTTTTTTTTTTTTTTTTTACAATTTTATCCCTTATTAATAAAATTTTAAGACAATAATGCCCTTATTTTTAAATTTATTTACATGAATCTTGCTTTTACAATTTCACCCCATTTAATTATTTTTTTGGACAAAATTACCCTTGAAATCAAAACAAATTTCAACTTACCCAAGCCACCATCCCCACCCACCTGCTGCCAGCCAAATCACTGCCGACCGCCGCGGGAAGTCGCCGGAAGTCACCTGGAGTCGCTGTGAGTAGCTCACTGTGACCGGGAGGCTCTGATATGGCAGTTTCTGGCCATATTGACAGTCAAAAAGGCCATATCGAGAGCAGATCTAGCCATTTCCAGCCAGATTGATGGGTCTGGCCGTTATCGACCAGATCTGGCTTAATATGGCCGTTTTCGGCCATCAATATGGCTAGAAACGGCCATATCGGAGCCTCATGGTCATAGTGATCTACTCACAGTGACTTTCGGCGATGGTTTGCGGTGGCGGCAAGGGATGGGGGTGATTTTGTCATAAATTAAAGTTTTATATAAGCTGGGTGTTTTAACTAAATCTGAAATATTGAGGGTTAAAAGAAATTATTCAAAAATTAATAATAAAAATAATATTATATTAATATTTAAAAAGAGAGTAATTTAGTAATTTAAATAACATACCCACCAATTTATTCCTCCAACCAAACATATTAATATAACATACCCACCAACTAACCAAACATATTTTCTTAAAGATTTACAGTAATCTTCAAGGTAATATAAGATTCTAGTAATTTAATATTCTCAGTAATCCAATATTCCGTGAACCAAACGCCCCTAAATGTAATAATTCTTTTTTTTTTTCCATTCCTTATTTATTTTTTTAATAAAAATAGAACAGAATGCTTACGCTCCTAAACTTACTTGAGATAACTAAATTATCCCAAAACGAACTTCCGCTCCCTTATCATACCAAACTCGATTCATTGTCATCTCCCCCAAGTGGAGAGCCAGAGACGATAATCAAGCATCAACAATGAAGATAATGGTGGCCATAAAACGAGTTGTCGACTATGCCGTGAAGATCAGAGTGAAACCCGACAAGGTAATCATCAATCAATCAATCAAAAATTGAATCATTTATTAAAATAATTATTTCTTAATCTGGGTTGGGTTTGCAATACAGACGGGAGTTGAGACCAACAACGTGAAGATGTCGATGAACCCATTTTGCGAGATAGCATTGGAGGAAGCTCTCAGGATCAAGGAATCAGGGTTAGCCTCCGAGGTTGTTGCTGTCAGTATGGGCCCCTCACAGTGCGTGGATACTTTGCGGACGGGTCTAGCTATGGGAGCTGATAGAGGGATTCATGTTGAGGCCACCTCCGTGCTGTATTCGTTGACTGTGGCTAAGATTTTGAAGAGTCTTGTTGAGGTTGAGAAACCCGGTTTGCTTTTTCTGGGAAAACAGGTTTGTGTTTAGTTATATTTCTGATGATTTGGGCTTTCTTTGATAAAAGAAATTCACGTATAAGATAAATTTTCTTATTATACAGATTGTTGTGTAGGCAATTGATGATGATTGCAATCAAACAGGTCAAATGGTTGCGGGGCTGCTCAGCTGGCCACAGGCTACCTTTGCTTCTAAGGTTGGTCCAATTGTAAAAAAACATTTTATTTTATTTTTTCTGTAAAGAAATTTAATACATTCAGGATAGCATAAAACATTGTTGAATCTTTATATCAGTTGTATATTTCTTGGATTTTGGGTAGCTACTGCTGTTGCCTTTGATTGATTGATGAGTATGTATGCTTGGTTTAGAAAATTTACCTTTTTACAATATTGCTGTTTGTTGCTTTTCAAGAATGCTCGCTGACAATCTCAAATTAACATCACCTAGATTTAGAAAGACATTGTAAGTGCGACTGCAAGTGAAACTGTAAATGTTATCATTAGAGATTAGGAGATTCATTATTCTCTATATTGATTGATAATCTGATATCTCTACAGAAACAAAATGGCTATTGCTTGCATTATGTTAATAACATGTTGTGGCGTGTTTTGTAGGTGTTGAACACGTTACCAGTACTACAGCTCTCTCACTCAAGATGACACTTGACAAATTTTTTTGTAGGCATGGGTTGATTTTTTCTGACTGCGAGGACAAGGTTTCTGATGGAGCTAGTAATATGCAGGAGAATTTAATGGTTTGAAGACACTGATTTGAAAGAGTATATGTGCTTATTATTTTATTGTTTTGCCCATCAACTCTAGTTGGCTCTTGTGGCTTTAGCAAAGAACAAGATGATGTTAATGATCTCTTTAATATTGTGGCGATTATAGTTAATATTGTTGCTGCTTCACACAACGTTGCAATATTCTTAGATATAAGCAAGCTAGTAAAGTTATTGAAGCTCTTTCTAATAGTGAATTCAAGTGGAAAGGGCCCAATCAAGAGATAACTCTGAAACTTGGCGTTGATACATGTTGAAGTGCGCTTAGGTACTTAATGAGCATAATCTTGCTGTTCTCATCCATTATCGATGTTCTTGAAATTGTGGCAAAAGATGGACAAACCCGAGCAAAGATTCGAGCAAGAAATATTTAAATTGTAGCAATTATTTGATTTTGTGTTTGTCTATTTAGATGAAAGATTTACATGCTTTACAAATGAACTTTCTCAACACTACAAAGAAAATATCATATTCTAAATGCTATGAATTTGGTTGAAGTGTGTAAGCAAGCCTTACAATTGATGAGGGATAGTGGATGGGAGAATTTACTTAGCAAAGTTTGTTCTTTTGGCCAAACATATTGAAATTCCAATATGGATGATAAAATTTTATTCAGGGCAATCACAACGGAAGACTAAAGAATACAATGCATTATTACCGCATTGAAGTATTTTATAGTGTCCTAGATATGCAGCTTCAAGAGTTGAATAATCGTTTTAATGAGTAACACTGAATTACTTATTAGTTTGGCAGCTTATGTCCAAATGAGATTTGTTTCTTTTGATAAGCAAAAATTGATGCACCTTGCTGAACTTTATCTAGAAGATTTTTTTACTTGAACTCATGACACTTGATTCTCAATTTGATATTTACTTGGATATACGTTCTAATGTCAAATTATGGAATTGAATGAGATTGAGATCTTGCAAGATGATGGTTGAAACTAAGAAGATAAAGTATTTCCATTAGTTCATCGTTGATAACATTACATTGATTTTACCGTTGCCACGCTAGTGTAGAGAGAGCATTTTCCAATGAATGTTGTAGAACGGTTTGCGAAATAAATGAGTGATCAATGGTTGAATGGTAGTTTAGTTTATGTATATAGAGAAATATGTATTTGATAGTTTTGATAATGAAGTCATTATACAATATTTTCAAAAGATGAAATCTCGTCAAGGACAATTATAATGCATTAGTTAATGAAATTTATTAATACAAATATTGTGTTCATTTTTATTTTATTTATGTTAATTGTTCTTTAACCTTTGACCCCCCTAAGTTTCATTCTGGTCGCCCCTGCTTAGTAGGGTTGTAAGTAATTAGGAAGACCCAATTAATGATATTTACGAGCAACCCTGAGGCCCAGAATGTAATGCAAAAGCACACCACACATAAATAGAAATTGTTCTGTTTACCATATGATTTTCTATGAAACTCGTCCTCAAAAGAAGAATCCAACTCATCAATGAATCGGATACCATATCTTCTTGTTCTGTCTACTTAGAAATTGAGGGTAGAGTTGTGAATAAGAAAGGGATGATTCCCAAATTGTGGATTAGGATGAATTCCTTTACTTCGCCTTTCAATTTCAATCCCACTATACATTATTGCAAGTTGTAGGGGGGTGGAGGCAAACATCAAGGTTGGACTGTGATTGAAATATAAAAGACACTCTTCTTCATCTTCAACTTAGAATTGCGTTAGGGTGGGTGGGTTTCAGCAGGCTTTTTCAGAATAGTCCCATGTCCTTTGTTTGTTCTCTTCCAGTACATCAGCCCACGGCCCACAAGGTAGCTCAAACCAACAAATTAATTATTTTTGGGATTATAACAAATTGATATAATTCATTTATCATAATTAATATCAAAGTTAATTGATTCCTTCATAATTGTTGTTTTATATATATATAATTTTTAAAGCAAAAGAGAAACCATTGAAATTTTGTTGCATCATGAAAGTAAAATTATGATTAACATTAATGATGTAGATTCTATTCAATTAATTTGATTGGATTAATTTAAACGCTGAGGTGCTTGTGGTTCAAGAATTTGGTATTAAGAAATCTTATATTAATGAAGTTAGATTACCTTGAAGATTATTGGAAATCTTTAGAAAAATGTTTAATTTGTTGGAATAAATTAGTGAGTATGTTATATTAATATGTTTGGTTGGGGAATAAATTGGTGGATATATTATTTAAATACTAAATTTCCCCTTTTTAAAATTATTAAATTATTTTTATTATTAACTTTTGAATAATTCTTTTAACCCCCAACATTTCAGATTTAGCTAAAATATCCCAACTTATCAAACTTTGATTTATAACAAAATCACCCCCCGCACCCCAAGCCACTGCCTCTCACCGCCTTTGCATCGAAAGTTGCCGAAAGTAGTTGAAAATCACGAGAGTTGCCAGGAGGCTCTGATATGGCATTTCTAGCCAGCCATATGATGGTCGAATGTCATATCAAAGTAGATCTGTTCGAAAATGGCCAGATCTATTATAGCCAAAATAGATTTGGCCATTTCCCGGCTAGATCTACTTCGATATGACAGTTTTCTACCATCATATGGCCAGAAACGGCTATATAATCCCCTGGCGACTTCTAGCGGCGGCCGACGATGGTTGGCTAGCTGTTGATAGGTGGTTGGGTGCGGTGGTGGTATACAATTTGTTTTGAATTCAAGGATACTTTTGTCAAAAAACTTAATTAAACAATAGTAAAATTGTAAAAGCCAGATTACTATAATTTATTTAAAACAAGGGTATTATTGTTTAAAATTTTATTAATAGAGATAAAATTGTAACAAAAATAAGATAACAAGTAATCTTACAATACCTAAGAGATAAGGTTATCAGTTAACTCAATATTACCAACAGTAACCACTATTGGTATTAGAAGATTACCGGAATCTTTTTAATTACTTGAAAACAAATGTGGTAATCAAGTAATATAAGATGACATAACCTCAGTAATCCTATATAACCCTAAACCAAATTTCCCCTCAATTTTATTATCTCTATAAGTAAGTTTATTTACTTAGTGTAATCAACATTTTAATGTACAGAAACTGTTTAACTTACAACCTCTTTTGTGAATTTTTCTTACAAACCTGATGTGAAATGATAATTGTATCAATTCTAATAGGTTTTACTTGATTCTACTTAATAATTATAATTGATAAATTATGAAATATCAAGTTTATGATATAATATTAGCTGTTAATGTACTAACAGATGAGAATGAAATTTCCAGTGAATTCTTATGTTTTGACTTTGTCAACATAACTGACTGGTTTGACTGTACGTGGTAATTGACTAAAAGGAAACTTTGCATGGACGGTTAACAAAGCACGTGAAACACGTGCAACTCTGCCCCACGTTTGCCAATTTTTCTCTCTTTCTTTCATTTTGTCAATGTAAATCTAAATCAAAACGCTCTGATAAATCGTGAACTCACGTGACCATACTTTTGCGACGTAAGTACCGCACGTGTACGATGTAAAAACTGATGATAACCGTATGCATACATTTTCCATCAACCACATTTTGTTTTCTTCTTTATCTTAAGTTATTATTAATGAAATTAGTTTTACTTGGATTAAAATTCAAATTATTATTATAAATTATTATAAAACTAAAAAACTGAGCATTACAACTTTCTATAATATATACAGATCCTTAATATTTTATTTAATTGCATGTACAGACTACATATAAAAATTAAAACCTACAATACATTTTCTACTAAAAAATTGGTAAATTTTAATACAATAAACAGAGTCAACTGACCATACCAATTATACTAATTAAAAAACAGCCAGACTATTACTATTGAAATTTTTTGACAGACAAACAGGTACAAACTCATTCAATTTGTTTTGTTAATATTCCAACTCCTCTGCCAAAGCTTAATTAATCTATCAACCCCATGTGCACCTCTCTCTTTCATTTTTCATTTCCAAAGTTTTGTAACTAGTGCAGCTAATTCCCTCCATTTCAACCATCAGATTGCTGTAATACAGTCAATAATCTTGGTGACCAATTACACATGGTTGTTTGAATTAGTTTTGAAAAATATGCAGAAAAAAGCCATCGAATGTTGGGGTGTATACATTTATGAGGGCAAACCCTATTTCTCAAACTTTTGGGAAAAAAAATTAATATTTTTGTTTGTATTATTTTCAAAAAAGTGTATCCAATCCCAAGGTAACACTTGATCAATCATCAAACACACTCAAAATTATTCGTGTACGTAAGGCAAGCCAACGTTTATTTAAATTGTAAAAAAAAACAAAAAAATCTTTTGATAAAAAAGGTGAGAGGGTATGGTGTGTGAACGAAAGAAGTTGAAAAAAATGGCAGAAAAGTTGAGGAAAGGGCTCAACCTTTGACCGGGGAACAGGGAAATCCACACTTTTTGAAAAATAAGGGACTGTACTGTGTGTATTTATGTATTCTGTTTTTTTTTCTTACCAAAATAAGAATGGCCATGGGGTTTGTGTTGTATGTAACTGTCAACACGCAAAGAATGGATATAGTGTCGGTTCTGATTAATTAAATTTAATGTCTTCTGTTTTAAGGATTCGATTGGATTGGATTTGACTTCCTTTGTACTCAGATAGGGACCCTCGCTTTGACTATTTTTCTGCCTGTGCCCTATATAGCTTAACAACCTATGCTCTTTAACATTTTTCTCTTTTTTTATTTTTTAAATTTTCATAATCAGTGTCTGAGTCAGTTTTCATGTATTTTAGTTAATCCTTTGATATTCTATAATTATAAAAGTTCTAATAACTATTCCTGTTAGTGACATAGGATTTAAATTTAGAAGATCATGTTAGATCCACTTTTACTCTTTTACTATGAAAACT